ACATGTCATATTTTACTAGCAAAGCATGGAGCTATGGGACACCGGCAATCCAGGAGTTCCATAGGTGGAAATGGCACCCCTTCAAGAGGCCTGCTCTGGAAGAAGTGGCAGCTGGGGAGAACCATAAGTCACTTGACAAAATTTATAAGCCATGACAGATCTGGAGCCTCTGCAGCAGCAAAGCAGGATCATGATCATAGCACACGAAAGGATATCTGTAAGTATTTCTCTCACTAACGAGAGTGGTGAGGCAGTGGTCAAGCTCTCAGCTGCCAACCAGAATGCTGGCGGTGCCAACTGACAAGCTCTTCTTGGAAGACAGATGTGACCGTCTGCTTATGTAAAAGCTTTATAGACCTTGAAAACACTATGGGGTAAGATAAACATATAATCTGAAATGTAAATTGTGGTAAAGATTGCAACTCAAACACATGTGATATTATGTTCAATGATTTAAACCTCTATTTTGTAATCATAGTTCTTTATGGTTACTTACCAAAGCTGATCATCTGCTCAAACACCTGATTATTAAATACAAAAGCAAAAGATAAAATTGGGTCCAAACAATGCAAACCCAAGAATCCTCTATCCAGCCAGATTATCTATCAAGATAGATGGAGAAGTAAGAACCTTTCCAGGCAAGGAAAAACATAAAAGACACCCATCTCTACAAAAAAATGCTTTCTGACTCATGTGGTTGGAAGAACAACACTCACTGAGCACAAGTAGGAGACCACCACGACATAGAGGAACTCCACCCAGAGGTCAAGACTTGGAAAACAGTCCCAAAGTGTTACAGAGAAAATAGCCCCAATTTTGGAGCAGAGACCCAAAACCTATTGATAGACAATGGGACATCCCCTCACAGAAGGGTTACAGGGAAGGGATGAGTCAACCAGGATGCAGTACAGCACCAATGAAACACACAATATATCTTTGGTAATTTGAGGCTTCCTCGCCCCCCTCTATCATGACCCCGGTCCTGCCTTTCACTGTGGGTTAGACTGGAGCATATGGACAGGTACAGATAAGAAATAAGAGATAAGAGCTCATGACACATGGAATCCAGGAACAGGAATGGGGAGTAGTGAAACCAGGAAGGTATGGGGAAGCAGGGGAGAGGAGGGGAGGAAGGAGGAACTGATTGCAATGATCCTCCAAAAACCCCTCCCCCTCTCCATCCACCCCCCC